ATCAAGAGGAGAAGCTTCAACAGTGATGGGACACTGGCACCAACGGGGCTTGGAGTGAGCACATGGCTCTGTATTTGTGTAAGAGCCTTGTGAGGGATTATTGGGATAGAAAAGTGCACTTTGATGCCTTTGGTTTCTTCTGTGTCTTGGACACAAATGGTTCCTTTGGCCATGGGGCTCCTCCACGTTGTGTTGTGACCCAGGCATGCATCCGGCTGAGGAAGCCTTGGGTTTGTGTGTTAAGACGGACAGCCTGGATCATGGGCAAGGCTGATCAGCCAGGATGACTCGGGCTTGCTGGGGACCTGGCCAAGAGACCAGAATGTTGTGCAGCAGTACTGGCTCCTTTGGGTAGGGCTGGTATGGAGACAGGCAAGGTCATGTTGAAGACACAGCACATGGCTGGGCACCCAGGAACTGCTCAGCAGGTACGTCCTCCTGGGCTGTGAGCTGGGCTCTCTTGAGAACATCAAGAAAGAGCAAGAGAAGATGTGCAAGCTACTGCAGAGGGTTGAATGGTGGCCCTCCAATAGCTCTGTCTATGCCCTAACCCTCTGAATCCATGCATGCAGCCTTATGTGGAAGGAGTCTTTGTAGATGTGCTGTTGGGGCTTTTGAATGTGGTTCCTGGCCATGTCCTGAGGCAGAGACACCTGCACGGGGGTCATGCGAAGATAGGGCAAAGGCAGGAAGGACAGCTGAAGGCCCGGAGATACTTGGAGCCACCCAAGTGGGAAGAGGCAGGAAGGTGTCTGCTGGAGCTTTAGAGGGACTACAGCTGTGCTGCACCTTGATTCTAGACTTACGCAGAGCTATGGGCAAGCGGTTTCTGTTGTCTGTCCTCTGGCTGTGACCACTTGTTACAGTGGCCATGGACACTCACATGGCTGCCGCTTACTGAGCATGCTCTGGCCGGTGCTTCCCAGCTCTAGGCCCACCCTTGTGTCTGGTCATAACACCTGAACGACCAGAAGCACAGCAAAGTGCCCCCCTCACTCCCCAGAATCAGGGTGTCCTGGCTACAGTACTGAGCACTGAAACTAACCCCTGACCCCAGGATTCAGGAAGTGAAGGCAGGGGTTGGGACCTCAAGGTTATCCACAGCCTAAAAAAAGGACATAAGTCATAAGACTTAGTAAGATTGGCTATGTTAATAGAGACATGAAAAAAGACTAACAAGTGGACAAAGCCCAGACTGGAGATGGAGGCTGTGGCTTCTTTGTTTCAGTGGTGAGTGGAACCCCGAGGGTGTAGGAGCTCCAACAGCAGCAGTGCAGAGGGGAAACTCAGGGAGCTGCAGCAGATACTGGACAATACAGTTAGGGAAGGTCTGAAGCCCGCATGCTCTCTGACCACAAAGAGTTAAGAAAGGTTTGAATCTACAGGGCACGCTCTGATCACAGACTTTAATTAGAAGCCACGACGCTGGTTTATGTGGTGCTGGAGCTGGAGTCCAGGGCTACATTCGTGGCAGGAAAGCTCTGTCTACAGCAACTCAGCTACACCCTCAGCCCTCGTCATGGTGTTTTAAAGTGTCTGCAAGCTTGAGGGGGGGCATTAGACAGACAGAGCACCTACTGGATGCACACATGACCAAGGGGGAGGGGTGTTTCCTCAGACAGAGCACCTACTGGATGCACACATGACCAAGGGGGGGAGCGTTTCCTCAGATTGACAGAGCACCTACTGGATGCACACATGACCAAGTGGGAGGGGGCGTTTCCTCAGACAGACAGAGCACCTACTGGATGCACACATGACCAAGGGGGAGCGTTTCCTCAGATAGACAGAGCACCTACTGGATACACACATGACCAATAATGGTGAAGAGTCGCTGTTTTCCCCAAGATGGGGAACAGGCAGGGGCTTTGCTCTCTCCTCTCCTAGGCAACGCTGCATGAGGGTCAGCTATTGCACTGGGAAGGAACAGAAAGCACATAAAGACTAGACTGGAAGGTGTTGTGGACCATGTTTATAATCCTGGCATTTGGGAGGCGGAGGCAGGAGGATTGGCAGGAGCTTGAGATCAACCTGAAGCTATAATTTGAGACTGCCCCCCCCCCCGAAAAAGACGGCTCAGAGGTTAAAAGCACTGGCTGCTCTTTCAGAGGATCTAGGTTCAGTTCCTACCACCCACGTGGCAGCTCACAACTGGCTGTAACTCCAGTTCCAGGAATTTGATGCCCTCTTCTGGCCTCTTTGGGCACCATGCAGGCATATGATGCACAGAGGTTCAAACAGGCAAAACACCCATCCACATGAAATAATAAAAATTATAAAACAACAACGTCTAAGAAAGACTAGTGGCTGTCAGCTTGCAGACATCACTGTCCATGTAAACCAGAGGATTATAAAACAGTAAATGGATGTATGGCCAGGACACAACATTGCAGCAGAAAACTGGGGACAGTCAGGCTGTACTGCCGCAGTGTAGAGCAGCACGGGGTGGAAGGATAACCAATAGAAGGCCAGAAGATTGGTACCCTGAAAACACAAGACACTCTGGACAGCAAGTATAAAAATCTCAGAAGACATACTGCGCTCATGAACTGCCAAGTTTAACACTGGAAAGCTGCTCTCTCCTGAGTGACTGACTAATGAATTCCAGGCCAACTGGGGATTACGTCACATGAAGAAATGCTGAGAAACGTTTTTTTTTTTTTAAAAGATCAGAGATTCAAGTCCCCAGGACATGATTTTTAAAGCATCCCCACAAATGGCAGCGATTAAGAAAACAGTGATGCCATCTGTCATCGACAGGTGAGCAGGCCAGAAAGACAGACTGCAGGTTCTGGGTGACTGCACAGAAACAGGAAAGCCACTGGTCGGGGAGGAGTGCACAGGCTGAAGCACCGCGGTGTGGGGAGGGATTGCAGCCCTTGCTGCACTGTCTGGGGTGGATGTCAGGGCACTCCCCTGACCCAGTGTGGACCTGAAAGCTTTGAAGACAAGGACAGCAAAGGACTGGGCAGCTTTGCTGCAAGACTGCTTCCAAGAACATGTGAGAAATGCTACCCATGAAAGAAAACTGGCTGATTAGACTCCATCGAAATACAGTATTAAAATGAGAAAAAAAAAAAAGCCAGGCACAGTGGCTCATACTGTGATCCCAGTTTTTCTGAGGCCGAGGCAGGAGGATCATGGTGAATCTGAGGCTAACTGGAGCAAGGCCCTGTTTCAAAATCCGTAATATAAATAAATAAAAAATAGAAAAAAAATGAATGGGGGAAACATTAGCTCTAACAGTTTTTTTTTTTAATTTAAATCTCCAATATGTAAAGAACATCTACAAATTAACAAGATGAAGAGTCCAGCTGAAAACTGAGTAAAAGGTACCTTACCGGTGAAGCTACTTAGATGCAAAGACGTTTAACAGGGCTGGGGATATGGCTCTGTGCTTAAGAGCACTTGCTTCTGTTGCAGTTCCCGGGTTTGGTTCCCACCTCCATGTCGTGGCTCAGTCTGTAAATCCAGCTCCAGGGGATTTAATGCCCTCTTCTGGCCTTTTCAGGCACCTGCACACACACGGTGAATACATAAGCATGCAGACAAAGCACTCACAGATAGAACAAAGATGCTTAATATGGTTAGTTTCCAGCAAACTCCAACTTAAATCACGCTGAAATGTCATTTGATGGCTGAGTATGTGGCTTAGCAACGAGGCCTTGGGTCCCACCATTCGCACAGAGAGAAAAAAAAAGCAAACTCCTTCCTCAGCCAGGAGTACTAGTATATGCCTGTTACCCCAGTGTGCTGAGACACAGATATGAAGCCATGGGAGTGATAGGAGGCTTGGGGCTCTTGTCCCTCTGAGTCACTGCACACATATGACTTTAGAGACTGTGCTTTAGGGTCCCAGCCCGGACTAGAGGGTCACATGTGTGTGAGCCGCATGTCCTTCACTGTGCCATAACTGCTGAAGGGGCCTGGATTCTGGCTCCTGCAGAGAGATGGCAATGGGGTACTGTTGTAATAGGAGCGGTGGGCTGCGTCACCCGCACCCAGCCACCCGCATGGTTAGCTTTACCAAAAATAATTACATGGAAACTGTATATTTTTAAACACTGCCTGGCCCTTTTGTTCCAGTTTCTTATTGGCTAGCTCTTACATATCGATCTAACCCATTTCTAATAATCTGTGTAGCTCCACGAGCTGGCTTACCAGGGAAGATCTTAACCTGCGTCTGTCTGGAGTGGGAGAATCATGGCGACTCCTTGACTCAGCTTCTTTCTCCCAGCATTCTGTTCTGTTTATTCCACCCACCTAAGGGTTGGCCTATCAAGGGGCCTAGGCAGTTTCTTTATTAATAAAAAAATCACTCCCACATCATTTCCCCTTTTCCCTTAGCAGAAATTCTTTCCCTGTCACCACCCCAAGATCTCAGGTACACAGGGCTAGTGGATAGTAGAGGTGACATACCTGGCTCTCTCCAGTGCAGGAGTTCATCTTGAGTGTATGGAGGTAGGACTTCAGGGCCCTGGGTCACTACCAGCACTTCCTGTGTGTCAGAAACCAATGTTCTCTATCCCAGCTGCAGTATGTAACTGCTTCAAGGGTCCTTTACGACTCTGCAGTAGGAGTCTGCAGCAGCAGCTGACAGCTGCCCATGGGCATGGATGACTCCAGCTCCATGATCAGAGAGTGACCCAGACTCAGATAACATGTTCTGTCCCAGGAAGGACTGGAACACCCACCTCCAGTACCCAGGGCTGTGCGCTCACACACAAAGGTCAAAAGCTACTCACTGCCTAGATTGGCCAGCTCCCAACAGACCCCTCTCCTGCTGCTCACTAAGAGACCCCCCACCCCAGCACCAGGAACAGGCCCAATCTCCTCACCTCTGGGCTGCTAGAGACCTAAGCTGCAGGAACCCATTCCGTGGGCCCTAGGGGAGCTCTGAGGAACTGGGCCATGCTTACAGCCAGGAGGAACATTATGCCTCACCCTGGACGCAACAGACTCCAGGAGAGCAGTCTCTCAAAAATGACAGGTCCACACTATCACCTGCAATGATAACGTTTATTGAGTCAACCACAGCGTAACAGCAATAGAGGCAGGGGAGGCACTGGCCTGGCAGGAAGAAGTCAGGCCATATACACCACACTGTATACAGGGACCAGTGGCCCAGCATGTGACAAAGAACAGACAAAGCCCCAGGGCTCTGGACAGAAGCAGACATAAACATCCACCTTATAAAAAACAAAATCATGTGTGATAGTACTCTTATAATCTGTTTCCTCATAAAATGTAACATGTGTTTAACACACACTTAACCATTGCTAAAATCAGCAAGAGCTATTACAGTGCTCCAACTTTAATAAGTTGATAACAGTGGTCCTGTTTCCAGTTCACAAAGGAACTAAATAGTTCTGTTCCAAGGCGCCTGGGGAGCGCCCCTGTGCCGAGGCCTTTCCAACAACCGTGCTTCCCGCTCCACGTCCCTTTGTCAGGCGTTGGGGGGGGGGGGGCGCACAGCTGGGGCTGCCAGAGGAAGCTAAGGTCTCCTAGAGGCCCAAGGGTTGCCATCTAAGGGGCCATCTCGGGCTTCAGCCCTGATGGCCATGCTAGCTTTTCATGAGGTGGTGACAAGAGCTACTGAGCGCGCATCCCTTGCTTGCCACATTGAGGTCCGTTCAAGGCTGCTCCGCTGGGCAGTCCCCAGGCACTCTCGGAAGCACTGTTTTCAGGCTCACAGGCACAGGGGTGAGCCCACTGCTGGTGACAGCCGCTGGAGGAGGACCCGTCTGTGGCTTCACCTGCGCACACCAGGTGTTGGTCAGTGGCTGAAGACAGAGGCTCGGGTAGAAGCAGAACAGCTGGGAAGTCGTGGCATCTGGTGTGTGTGAGGTTGAGGAGTGTCCAGTCTCAGTAGCTGGTGTCCCGTAACACTGACCTGTGGCAAATGTGGCCATGGCTGCCGCACACCGACCACTGACTGCAAACAAAGGGAGCCATCTGCTCCGGGTGGCTGCACAAGCCAGTGGCAGAAGGGAGATAAGACAATGGGCGCCCTGGCTGCTGTTGTGGGGGGGGAGGGGCTACAAGCACCTTCTACAACATCTTGACCACTCCAGGATGTTACCAACCAGGTCCTGCCCTCTCCCTCCCAACTTTTCCCAAATCAGCCCTCACAGGGCCCTGAGCATCTCTAGGGTGGGAGCCTGAGGGTGTAGACCTCTCAGCAGGACTGGATGTTCCAGCTAAGATCTTAGGCTAAGAACAATGTCCCATAGCCAGCTTTCCAGACACCAGGAGTGCCGTCATGCTATTCTGCCCCAGCCGGAAGTAGGCTGTGGACCCTTTCCTACCAGCTGATACTCTGGCACAGGCAAACTTGGGCCTCATATCTTAAGAGGCCTCTCTTAAAACAACGGTTGGAGTTGACTTTGACAGGCATCAAAAGCAGGGTTCAGACCATCATCAATCCCTTCTGTTAGTAACCTGCGTGCATTCTATGGCCTTTGACCAAAGGATTCCCACTAAAACCCGCATGGTGCTTTCATGTAGTCCAGGCCCCAAGGCATTACAAAGCTAACTCCATGTTGCAGCCTCAGCTCTGGCCACAAATGGGCATCTGCTTGACCCTTCCATCCCCTAGGCCCAGGTGATCACCTTTCCTCTCACAAAAGAGCTACTCAGGTGTTCTCTCTGGGACCGCACTACCCATGGAGGCTGGATTGACAGCCCAGGTCAAAAAACAGAAATGCCTGGGCTGCTCTGAGCAATACAAGCATCGATGTCACTTGCCAGCCCTCCTCCCTTGGCTTAATACACAATCAGTGGCCCTGACAGCTGTCCATGGGGCAATCTCAGAACAACCTCTCAGCAAGAAAAGGGCTAGGCAAAAGGATCTGGCTATTGGTCTACCCCAGATGAGACACATCCACCTTGAGGCCCATGGCTCACTTTATCTGCAAGGAAGCCCAGAAACCAACACTGCTGCTACCCTAGGGTCTCGGCCCAACCTCACCTGGGCCACACCCACAGACAGCTGGATTCCGATGCAAACACCTAACAGGTTCAGGTCTTTAAAACTACCAGACATGCAGCCTCACCTGACAACAACAGCCATGTTTCTGGCTGTTCATCTAAGGTGACAATATTTTACCAGTGGTTCTGCCAAGGCCTGTGCCATGATCACAGAGTGTCTTTTGTGTTCCTTCAGATCATGGTGAGTGGAGGCTAGCACCTCAAGGGCTGGCAGACTGCACGTGGTGATCCCATCTCTCTTCCTCCTGTGGGTCTGGTCTCTTACTAGACCCAAATCTCCTGACATTCGGCTTCAGTAAGCACGGTCGGCATCCCGAGCCTCAGCATGGGTGGGGTGCTGTGAGCAGCATGCACCTTCCTAGACCCACACTTGATATGATGATTCCAGAGTTTGGGTTGGGCCAGGTTTTGCCAACTTAGTGTTCTCTGCACTCCTGCCTTCTTCTGTCCTGCTATGGCAAGGTGGGAAGGCAGGATGCGTGAAAACAGAGGTCCGTACCACGGACCAGAAGTCTCAGGAGGAAGGGTTACCCTCTTAAAACCCCCACAGGAAACTAAGTTGCACAGGGACGACCTGCCAAGGACACTAACTGAAGAGAGGAGTCCAGAGGTGCCTGCTTCCCCAGAGGGACAGAGCATCGGCTGATGGGGCTTGGCTGGCTGGAGGGCTCAGTGTGGGGACTGTGCTTGGCAGTCCAACTTCTCCCATCTAAGCAGGAGACTTGCAATTCTGTTCTCAACTGGCAACACAGAAAACACTAGAAGTTGGGGCCAGTCCTCTGTAGGCCTAGGCTTGAGGGAGGACCCAGGCAGATGGAAGGTATCCTGAGTACACACCTCTGCTCTCCAGACACAAAAACACTACAAACTACAAAGCGCCACCAGTGTGGGAATGTGGCAAGACAGGCCTGCCAAGAACGTTAAACATAGCATTCCTTTGAATACACAGAAAATTCAAGTAATTTATTTAAAAACGGCTTACTTTCATCTTGAAATATATATGTATATATATTTGCTTTAGAATGCTCATATTGCAGCATGATTCTCATGCACTTTATGTAAAAACATCAATCGAGGCAGCAAGAGCACGGGTTTGACTTCATCCAGGGAGGACCTCCCCTCTCCTGAGCGCAGACTGATGGTCTCACAAGCCAAGAGACAGGACTGTGGAGTTTTTAACAGAGATCGTGGTTTGAAAAGGATTTTCCCACAGCTGCAGCATTTGAGGAGCCTGCTTCCCTGAGGCCCGGGTTTTGCTCACATGCAGAGACTGGAAACTGCGCCGGGCTCTTGAGTCACAGCTCTCCTGCCCAGGCAGATACTTGCTTCTCTTTGCCTTCATTCCCATTCAGTGACCATCAGCAGGAGCAGGTGATGAGGTCACAAGATTTCAGTTAGGTTCCAGCGAGGACCAATGTCACCAATGTGGCAGGGAGGTAGGCCTCGGCACCCTCACGTGCCCTATTCCCCACACTCTCGAGGTAGCCTTGCAGCAGGACTCGGGAGTCAGTGATTGCCTGGAGCTCTGTTCCTGGATTCCCAAAGATTATGTAGAGACAAACTGAAGTGTCACGCAGAGCCAACAGCTGCCCTGTGGTCTTCTGGGGAAGACCGTGTGGGTAGAGACTGGACACAGACAAACTCACACACAAGCATGCAGGAGGCACAATGGGAATTCGCATTCTGCACTCCTGTCCTGATTTTGTGCTGTCTCTGGGCAGGATGTCTGGAGGCTGCCCTGGGGAATGGCTGCCTCTTGCTCAAACGACTCTGGGACCCTTCCCCAGCTTTGGTGTATGGTCTCAGGCACTGACAGCTATGCACAGGTCTGCGGGCCCAGTTCGCTAGAGATGCTGTTCTAAGAAAACCACAGTTGTAAAAAAGAAAATACCGTTTCTAAAATAAACAGAGAAAACTGCTCTGAGGCAAGGCAGTGCCAGCAGGATGCTGAGGAGCCCCCAGACACCTGCCGGGCAATCTGGACACTGCACTGCTGTCTGCTGCCTTCAGACGACAACCTCCAAGGGAGTCGGAGCTTCTGCATGTTCAATTACTGTTTTAGAAATGCAGACCCTTGCATTTTCTAATTGCTTATTGACTATGCTGTGAATGTTTCATAATTTAAAACATGCAGAATGGTATACCTGCAGAATAAAAGACAGCTGAAATTAAGTTTTTCAATAAAAAAGATTTCAAATGATTTTTTTTAATTGTGGGAAAGGTAATTAGTGTGATATTTTTGCCTAATAGCTCAAACCTACCCTACACCTAACACCTACTAAACTTGAACTGCGCTCTGGGAAGGAACTCCAGCTCACACAGTGTTGGCAAGCACAGCCCCCAGTCCACCCTGCCCTCTGCTGTGGAATGTGCCAGTTGGGGCTCACACCATGGATTCTGTCTCCACGGATCCCCTCAGGCCCCCCTTCCGAGACAGCTTCAGCACAGTGGGTTTCTCACTGCCTGCTCCACCCTCGCCTTCACCAGCAGGCCCTGAGGACAGGCCTTTCTGCTCCTCCTTGGCCTCCTCTGACACCTCAGGGTAGATCACCAGGAATGTGGCTGTCAGGAAACCCAGGAAAGAGCCCACGGAGGCTACCACAGGGATGGCATGGACAGTCCCTACAGCGTCGACCACACTTCCAAGGGCAGATGCAACCAGAATCTGGGAGATGTAGACCTGGCAGGAGAGGATGGCGCAGTCAATGCCAAATCCACGCTTGGAGTTCCCTGGACTGTGGTGGACGTACTGCAAGAGAAGGGAAACAAGTATGAGAGGTGCAGGGAAGGTAGTCTTCATCTGTACCTCAGGGTTGTGGATACTGCCTGCAGTCAAGAGACGAGATCCACATGGTGTGAGCTTCTAGGCAGCTGCCCAGCTGGGATCTCCAGAGCCCCAGGTCTTACCTGGCACCAGGCAGGCAGGAGAGGTAGAAAATTCTAGCAGTTGCAGAAGCAGTTCTGCAACTTAATCAGAACCTGATTCCCTAGGACACTGCCTCCAGTCCCAAGGAAGAGAAGCAGGGCAGACACAGGAGTGCCCACCTCACCCTGATGATCTATCTACTTGGAGAGCAGGGAGCTCAAGTCGCTCACGTGCATTTGGGCTCAGGTGACAGGGCAGGGAACACTGGGCAGCTTTGTTTGTTCATGTTTCTTGAACATGATATAAAAGCATGCCTGTGCACTGCATGGCTATGCTCACCCAAGTCTCCAAAGGAGACTTTGTCTTTGAGATATGGAGGCCAACCTACCCAGAAGATGAAAACCACACTCACATTTTAGACTTGAGGACACCACAGTGAAAGAGAGATTTTAAACACACTTCTCAGAAGCCAGAAAGAGAACAGAACAGCTGAACAACAAACAAACCCCACCGTACCCAATGGACATGGAGAGGTCACAAGGGTTGAACATGAATTTCACCATATATATGGGACATGCTGGCCCATAGACTGAGTGATCAGTTAATTTAAGGGCTGAAATCATACACATGTGCACTCTCTGATTTTGATTACTAAAAACCAGCTCACCATGATCATCATTAAAACTCCTAATATGAGCCGGGCGGTGGTGGCGCACGCCTTTAATCCCAGCACTCGGGAGGCAGAGGCAGGCAGATCTCTGTGAGTTCGAGGCCAGCCTGGTCTACAAGAGCTAGTGCCAGGACAGGCTCCAAAGCTACAGAGAAACCCTGTCTCGAAAAACTAAAAAAAAAAAACCACTCCTAATATGTCAGAAATTCACCAATGTACTTCTGAATAATCCATGTGTTCAAAATAGAAATCAAGCAAAAACCATAAAAATCTGTGTGAGTTGGGCAGCAGTGACTCATGCCTTTAATCTCAGTACATGAGAGACAGAGGCAGGTGGATCTCTGAGTTCAAGACTAGTCTGGTCTACAAAGTGAGTTCCAGGACAGCTAGGGCTACACAGAGAAACCCTATCTTGAAAAACCAACAAAAGAAAAGAAAAAAGAAAGAAAAAGCACACACACACACACACATCCTATATGGAGACAGGTTCACACACACCATGGAGACAGGTCAACATCAGAACATCAGGTGTTGTCTTCTATTGCTCTCTACCTCCTTCTCTGAGACAATGTCTCTCAGAGAAGGTTGTCTAGGTTATGAGCCCCAGGGACCTTCTGTCTCTGCCCACTTGGCACTGGGGTTATAGGTACATGTTACCATACCCAGGGCCTTACATAGGTTCTGAATTCAGGTCCTTATACTTATACTTTAACCACTAAGCTATCTCCCTGAGATATTAGAATAATCTTTGAAATTATTGGGGGGGGGTTACATTAGCTAGGTGTGGTTGCACATATCTTTCATCCCAGCACTTAGGGTATGGAGGCAGATGGATCTCTGTGAGTTCCAGGCCAGTGAGGGATACTAGTAAGACCCTGTCTCAAAACCAAGTAGTAATTTGTTTTTTTTTCAAATGTGTATGAAAACTCATGTCTGTAGTCCTAGCACTCACTAGGGGGAGAGAACAGGATTTCTACGAGTTGAAGGCCAGGCTGGGCTCTATACAAGTTCTAGACCAGTTTAGGCTACAATGGGACAGCTGGAGTGACCCTGATTAACAGCTGAGGAGCTCATGCTGCTTGACATCAAGACTCACTGCAGACCTACTTTAAAGAACATCCAAGGACGGAGAAAAATGGCCAGAAGCATAGCACATGCACTTGTGCGGCCATTTAGCAACAATGAAGACAGGATGGGAGGCCCTGGGTTCCAACAACACCCACCTGGGGGAAGAACGTGAGAGTCTAGAACCTGCTGGGCAGACATTAGGTGGCACAGAGGCCTGGGACCAGTGGTGGGCCTCGGCATGCTACTACCCAAGCCACACAGAATGAGGTGAAGTGGAAAATGCCAGGCTAGTTATAGGAAGGTCAGATGCAGGTCAGATCAGGGCAGCAGGGGGAGAAAGACCTTCTAGACTCTGGTCACCATCTTTCTTGGTCTGGGCAATTCTGTATGACCCACGTCTGAAATGCCAGCAAGTAGCTCAGCCTCAACAGTATGAAGCCTGTAGAGCTCATCTACAAAACACCATCACCATGAGGTTTGATTAGGAGTGGGTGTGCTGTGTACCTCCTGAGCAAATTGATTTTGCTTTAATGATTAATGGGATTCAAGCTATGTGCCACCATGCCCAGCTGCTTGATTTTGTTGTTGTTGTTTTATCTTTTAAACCAGGGTCTTAAGTAGCCTAGGCTAGCCTTGAACTTGCTGAGAAGGATCTTAAAGTCTAAACCCTCTGGCCTTCAGCTCCCTGACGCTGGATATATAATTGTGCTCCTCTACACCTGGTTCCAATCACTCTGCAGAGGCCCCAGCAATGACACCTCCGAGGCAGTGGCTAACAGTGGCTCTTCAAATGCTGCAAGAGAGAAGGACACTGAGGCTAGCTTCTACAGCTGGGTCCAACCAAACAGTGAGCTGGGCAGGAAAATGCCCACTAGTGGGGGACATGATGGTAAAGGGGAAGTAGGCAGGGCAGCTTCTTATTCCCAGCTGTGACAGGGCCCAGAACCAGGATGTTCAGAGACGACCTTGTGGCCAAGGAATGATTAAGAGAATGGAAACTGTTGCCTTCATCAGAAGAGAAGACAAGGGGGACAGAAGGGAACTGAGCACAGATGGGGGCCCCTGATGACCAACCAGACCTAAGGCCAAGTAGGGTTCGAAAGTGACCCTATCACCACCTCCACTCAGCACCCACAGGTTTGCTGTACCTCCTTGATGTCATGGTAGTGCCCTAGGAGGGCGTAGGGGCAGTAGGAGATGCTCATGGAGACGATGCCCATGGTGCTGATGGTGATCATGGCCACGTAGACATTGGGAAATAGAGCCATCACAGCAGTGCCCACGGAGAAACCCAGCGTCCCCAACACATAGATGATCTTGATGCTCAGGTCATAGTTGTCCAGGTACTTCTGTAGCAGGGCTGCAGAGAGGGCCACAAGGATCATGACAGAGCTGCTGCCTCCATATACCCCTTACCGCCATCACTGCCACCCTCTGGTTGAACCTAGGCCTTCAGGCATAAAGACCTGCCCACCTGAACCATGCAGCCCATGCCTACCTGTATTCCCAGGGACTCCAGCACTTCTGAAAAAAGTCAGCTCTCTGTGGCCTCCCTGGGCTGCTGACTGCCCACCCAGGTATCCTCGGGGAAAGTTTGGCCCTTCCCTTGTCATTCTGTGTTCCCCAGCACTCTGGGCCAGCCTCAGGATACTGTCTTCTGATTGGATTCTCCCAGGCACCACCTCCTCCAGGAGGAATCTCTTTGTCACCCTGACACTTGGCTGACCTGTCTTGCCCTACCCTCTTCACCTACTTCAGGCAAAGTAGACTTCCACTCCAGGTTCAGACTGAGTGTGTGCAGCTAAGGGAAGGGACTCCAATCCTAACTAAAGCAGTGAAGGATGCTGCCTTAGGACGAGAGCCCATCACCCCACTCATCAGAGCTCCTGTCCTTGGCAGTCTGGACCAGTTCCACTGCCCCTCAGACTGCTGGGCCGCAGCTGGGGTTGTCATGGCAGTGACAACATGTTAAAACACAAGTACAACCACACTAAACAGTGCCATGGAACAAACAGCACATAGATGGCCTCCAAGTGTCAGAAACACCTGATCCCAAGCCACAGCAGCTGACTTTATTGGCTTTTCCTCTATTTAGAAAGCAGTCAGGATCCCCTGATCTCACCTGAGCAGATAGCACCAGTAGCAGCGTAGATGACCAGGCCCCAGCAGCCCATCTTCACGCCAGCATTGTACTTATGCCATAAGGTGGAGTTGGAGGTCTGTTGCAGAGAGAGGAGGTTGTGGGCATTTGCTATCCTCAGGGCAGAAGAAATTACTCTGCATTTCCATGCAGGCAGATTGAGAGTGAGGAGGAGAATCAACCCAAGTCCAGGTCAGTATCTGATAAACTACCTCCAGCCCCTCCCAGTCCACAGGCAACTCTTTCCCACAATGAGAAGTGGAATCCTGCCTGTGGCCCTGAAATAAGGTTGCTCTAGATAGGCAGAAATGAGTCTGAGATGACATGTTAACCCCTGAAAAAGGTGTAACAGACCACTGTGACCACCCACAGGGCCATGGCGCAAGGCAAGAACCACTAGCAGGGCCTGGTAAGAATAAAAATAGGCTGTTACTTTGATAGTGGAGCCAACACTCCATTTATAATATTCAAAGAGGTTCTGGTCCTTTGTGTGAAAGAACCTAGCATTCACAAATGGTCACCATAGACCCCACCATCACAACTTTGTCTCAGCTTGCGCAACTGACCATGCATTTAAGTGTGCACTGGCCAGCTACCTGCTGGGGACCCCCCGGACCCACATGGGCATGTGAGTGCAAGGGCAGTGCATATAGGCTCCCAAGAAGTTCCAGACATTGAGACTGCCTAGTTCTCCTGGGCAGTGAAACTGCTAGTCACAGGGTGCTCACCTGGGGGTCTCCTTCGAAGATAACCCGGCCCATGAAATCAGTATAGAAGACAGCCTCTGCGATGACAGAGAACCAAGTGAGTAGGTGGCAGAGACAGAGCCGCATCAATTCCTTGGGCATCTTCAGCATGGACAGCCATAGCAGGCGCACAGTGGTCTCCGCCTCGCCCTCCTCGCTCTCTGTGTCCCCACTGCAGGCAGTGGCCCCACTCTGGTTGCGGTGCCGGGATCGCTGCCGCTGCTGCAGGTCATACAGGTCACTCATGCTTCGCGATGGCTTGATCAGGACCACTGCATTGGCCCTGCGGTAGCGGTAGCAGTGGGACCCAATCTTACCATAGTAGGAGAAAGTGCTAGAAGCATGCCTGTGGAACATGTGCCTACGCCGCCTCATGGAACCAGACATGACTGAGGGCTTCAAGTCCACTTTAGAGCGGTTACTGAGTGAATCCATTGGTGGGGAACCTCTCCCATTTGGGACTTTAGCTTCATTCAAGTGATTATCAAGCAAGGTGTCGTCCTCCTTGGTGGACTCCCTGAGGAACGTAGACAGGCGGGGCAGCTTGGCCCTCAGGAGCTCCTGGCTGGTGCTCTGGGGGGTGCTGGGATAGGAAGCATCGTGGAAGATGGAGGGCTCTATGTCATGCAGGAAGAGCAGTTCAGGCTCCATGTCCAGGGTGGCATCAGGCATGTGCAGCACCGAGTCACTCTTGCTGCGCACGATGTCCACGTCGAGGTAGTCCAGGGACAGTTCGTGCTCTGACTGCACCTCATCTGGGAACAGGGGGCTGCCGTCCTGCACACCCCCACCGAGGGAGCTGAGGCGGATAGCAGGGGCTGGGGCACTAGGCTGGACACTGGTGCTGGGCAGGGTGGCATCCTCAGGACTGCGGTCCTGCTGTGGGCTGTACTGTTCCTCCTCAATGCTAAAGAGGTGCAGGGCCACTGACACTGAAAAGATGATGGCAGCAAAGAAGAACAGCACCTGGTTCTGTGTGCGGAACCAGTCACCTAGGAAGGTTGGTGTCCAGTCCAGCCCACCCAGCACGTAGCCAACAGCCCCACCAAGGCCTGTAGGTAGAGAAGTGACAGTGAGTTTCAGGTCCAACACAGGGCCTTACACAGGGGGACTGGGTTATGTGGCAAATCAGCGAGATGGAGAACCAAAGGACAGTGAAGACAAACACAAGGAAACAACTCTGACAACAGCACAGATCGGAAGACTGGTCTAACATTATTTCTAATCAGAAATACAAGACAAAAGGAGTCTCAGGCCTAGAAGTAACCCCAGCCCACCTGTGTGGTCCCCAGGCAGTGTCAGTGTGGGGTCCTCACCAAATCCACCTGGCAGGCATTATCATCCAGGCAGGCCTTACTCTCTCATAGCCCTCCTCCTCAGTCCCTTAATTCTGCTGGGTTCATGGGTCAGGAGTGAACCATGGTGCTTCCTAAGGTTCCAGCACTGGTCACTGCCACCAAGGAGCAGATTCCTCCCTCCCACCCGGGGCCTGGCATGGTGCTTTACCAGCAGAGAAGGCGTGAATGTTGAGAGCCATATCTTGCTCCTCACTGTCTACCACATCCAGCAGGTAGGCACGGATGGGCCCCTCAGTTGCATCGGCACTGAAATCCAAGACCACTACTCCCAGCACCGTGAGAACAATGCCAATGGGCTGCCGGTTGGGAACATCGCCGAGCGCCAGACCTAGACAGAGCATAGGGAAACAGTCAGACTCCAATGCTAACTGCTGGGCTCCTGAGAAAAATGCTTTCAGGACAGCAGTAAGCTTCATCCTATTCTGTGGTTTGTGGGTGTACTCCTCTGTTCAGCCTCCAAGAGTTCCTTCTTTTAAAAAATATTTATTTTATTATGGATGTTTTGCCTGCATGTATGGCTGTTCACCTCTTGCATGCTTGATACCTGCAGAGGTCAGAAGAAGGCATCCTATCTTTTGGAAGTGGAGTTAGAGATGGTTGTAAGCTACCATGTGGATGCTGGGACTTTAACTTGGGTCTTCTGTAAGAGCAGCAATGATAAGCTTTCTCTCTTCCCTCATAGTTTTTCAAGTAAAAAGGGAAACGTTTCCTGTTCCTCTGTCCATTAGCAGCAGTGGCCAGACCAGCTGGTAAGACAACTGGCATCAACTGCAGTGGCTGTGCAAGGGCCACCACCTCCACTGCTCTAAAGAAGCCATTTCCTCCTCTTCCCACCAACCCAAGCTCCCTTGCTGCTCCCTGAGCTGGTTGGCTCTGCCTCAGCATCCAAGCTAGGCACAGGCTTTAAGTTTATACAGATCTAAGTAGGAACATATAGCCTCAGAAGGCACTGAGAACCTCTGAGAAGGCTGCCCTCATACACCAAGTCTTACCTGATTGGGGAACCTGCCTGGACCCAGAGATCAATACCCAGCCCTGGACGGCTCATACTGGGACCAACCTTCAGGACTAGAGGTGGGGCAAAGACAGGCCTGGCCATGAAGTACAGTCCTCTGACTGAACCTCAACCCGCTGGGTCATGGGTTGCCCAGGAGGCCCACTGGCAAGAGAGTTGGTGCCTACAGGCTGGCTACCTGTGGCCAGGACCATCCCAGGAATGATCTCTATACATGTCACTGCGAACACTTTCAGGTGACTTTGACAGGCCCAAGGCCAGCAGCAAATGCCAGGAAAGTGGCAACCCCAAATTCCTAGATAGGAGCAGTTTCTGGTAGAGGAGGCTGCCTTGTGCAGGTAGGAATTAGCAAGGAGATACTCCAGCCAGGAGGGGAATGAACCAAAGCTGCTACAGACTGTCCCCTATCCTGGTCCTGAGGATCTGTGGGTCCCCATGGAGGTGGTAGTCTCCTGGGACCCTCTGTCAACAGTCCTGCTGCCACTGGAACTTGGGCAGACCTGTGCTTCAGAAACCACACTGTGCTCCTTCACTCGCTGAGCCAAAAAAACAAGGCATTGTTTCCACTAGTTCTGAAGGGTGCCCGCAAGGCAGAAAATATTTTCCCACACGGAGTGGCTTTAATTAAAAACAAAACAACAGAAAGAAGCAAAACAACACATGAGGCATGAACCAAGAAAACAAACAGCAAACTGGGTTCTGGACATTTTCACTACCACGTCTAAGAAAAGGAGAACAAAAAAAAGAAAAGATAATTTTTGAAATCGCTCTGGAAACAGGACGTGGTGTCAGACGCGCATTAAAACAAGCCATCACAACAGGAAACGTTTCCCTGTGAACAGGTTCCTCCAGCTTTCCCATGTGGGGCCAGCTCTACTACCAAGCTCCCCACTGCAGTCTCCACCAGGAGGCCCCCAGCGGCCCAAGCCGGACCCTGCACACAGTGACCTAGTTAAGTCACCAGATAAGATAAGGCCCCCAAAGCATGCACTAGTGTAAGCTCAGCAAAAACTCACCGATGGCAGAGCCATTGAGGAAAAGTGCAACACCGATGAGGACCCCCACACACAGCACAAGGATGAAGGGCCGCCGGCGGCCCCAGCTCAGGGTACACCGGTCACTTGCAGAGCCAATAAGCGGTGTGAAGATGAGGCCGAGGACGGGGCTCAGGAACCAGGTGAGGCTGTAGTACTGCTCAGGGAGGCCTGCAGGGACACACAGTCTGTCACTCATCACACATACACACCACACATAAACACATACTCTTGCCCCCTCAAGTCTCCTCAGGATACACCTTTTCTCGGAGTGTCTTTTGGCTCTGAGGATGCTAAACAAAATGTACTCCAGACCTTGGACCAGTACTGGGCTCTGTCTTCAGGGCCACCATGCTTAGCAGGGCTGAGCTGCTGCAAAGTCCTTCAGTGCCCCGTCTCTCCATATCATACTATGCAAGTGACATAGTGGCTACAACTGCAGGAATAATAAGAGTCACTTAACTCTGGACCTTACTGGGGAAAAATATCACAGAAGGTCTTACCAAGACCCTACAGAGCCACCAAGACCCTCAGTTACCTTGGCAGTGAGTGCCCCCAAGCACTGGGGTGGTATAAAGCCACACGTAACCAGCTGGAGCCAAGGGGCCACAGCCAGTACCCAATGCCCCTTCTTCCATTTAGTTTTTCTAACTGTCCAGTCATGGCACAGCAAATGTGGTAGCCATAGGATAGACCTGGGTAGCCTGACACCAGAGTCTATACCACCTCCCTGTCACGTAAATTCTAATGTGGTGTCAACAGAGCAGATGAAGGATGATGGTCCTGACACAGGCCAGAGTACTGCACAGCAACTAGAATGTACTTGCACAGCTGCCAGCAGTTCCCATGAGCCTCTCTCTAGACCACAGAGATCCTTGCTCATGAGCACATACCACACCACTCCCTTGAGTGACGGCCAAAGCCTCACAGAGGAATCTGCTACTACAAGTCAGAGTGCTGGTTATCCTTACGAAGGCAGTGACTGGCCACTTGGGTGAGCAATGGCACACCATATGTCCTGGATGTGACTGGGAGGCTCTGAGTGACAGCACAACTCTCCCCATTTTACAACAACCCATAGTTTGTTTAAAATTTAAAGGGCCTGGCACGTCACCACTTCATCAGACAAGCATTTCACACTCTAAGGACACTGAGGAAACAGACTCATGTTGAGCTGGCAAGGAAAATAAATGTTGCGTGGGAGGAGGGCAAGTGTAAGGGAGGAAGCACCTTGCAGAACCCCTTGCCATCACGCCATTCGGTACCAGGGCACTGTGCCAGGGTCTAAGGTATGTGTTCTGACCTCTGCAGCCGCGCCTGGCCACAGGAAGGCTAGATCTGTTCCCATCCCAAGTCAGCAGAACAGACAAGATTCAGGAAACTAGAGTTTGCCCAGTGAGTTCTGTCGGACAAGCCGGTGGGAATGGTATGAGCTCTTCAGCCTTACTAGGCAAGGCACTCAAGAAGCCAAGGCTGTTCTTGGCCATATTACCCTTGTCTGCCTTCAGAAATAACCGTGTCACATGCCCTGTGTCTCAGTACAACCCCTATTCAAAACGACCTAGAGTGAGCAAGGCCAGTCTGGGGTTCAGAGGAAAGAGATGTGCCATGAGCCTCCCACGGGTCACACCACCAACTCAAAGTAAACAAGGAGCCCAAATCATTCCTGTGTGCATGGGACATCTTTATGGGACACTTTAGCAGGCTTGCCCTCTCCTGCTTAGGGCAACCCTCTTGCTGTCACTGTGCCAACACCTGGGGAATAGGGGAGGGCTATCCATTCAGGAGGTACCACTGCCTTCTGCTGCCCACAGTGCCTACCCAACCCTGAATACAGGGTTCCATGCTATATAGACCCAGAAGTCCTGGTTTGTTCCAGTCAGGCTATGGCTCCCTGGGGACACTGAGACCAACAAGTCCTCTTGTCCCTTTTCCAATCAAGAGCCAGACAGGACATATAGAGGTTTGCTGACTCGATCAAGTTGTGAGACAAGGCCCGCATGGGCCAGGACCTTTCTCTGTCCACAGTCCCTCCTTAGAACTGATACTGTGCTGTCTCTTAGCAAAGACCTTTAACCCAGGTGCTCTCACTGGCCGGAACTCTCCCTGTAAGGTGACAGTGACAACATCAACAGAGGCTGGCATCATATCAGTAGGTCCAGGCATCAGCCCCTAGGAACACAGACTTCAGCAAAGTCACATTGGCAGATGACACATACAGGTAGACAGGAGTCGCAGAAGACTGACATATTCATAAGTCTGTAGCATCTAGCAAAGGGACAGGAAGTACCTCAGACAGTGGGAAAGACAGGTCCAGATATTCATCTGAGCACACAGATGGGAAAATAATGTGCTTCCCATCTCTAGTGTAGACTACAGATGAGTAGTTTACTACAGAACTCGACAGACTAGAGGAGAACAATAGATGCTCTCACAGAAGATAAACAGACAGTGCAGGCTCTAGAGCAAGGTGTCCAACTTGATGACACTTTGACATGACACTGCTATCTCTAGCTGTCCTATGCATCCATCTATTGGCCACAGGGTGTGCACATATTGTGTTGAACAAAAGGCCCTGCTGCACCCACAATGGCCTTTGAAGCAGCCAAGAGCTGGTTACTGAGTGTGGTCATGTACCGACACTTACTGGGGCAGCAAATGAGAGTCAGTGAAAAGTACTGGCTCCTCCAGGTGGGCATGGCGAGCAGGAGGCTGGCCGGGAATAGGGATAGGAGACCTTGGACCAGCTGTCACTACTTCTGCAGGAACTGAGAGCTGTAGCCACCACAGCCCAAAAGCTATGATTCCAGAACAGGTGAGCAAACTCTGCTGCCCAAGATCATGCTGCCTTCTACACAGATCTTACAAAAAAATGAAAAATGTATAGCTCAATAAAATCAATTTAAAAAAGACAAGAAAAAAATGGCTGTGATACTTTCTGACACAAAAAGTTTACGGAGGGGCTGGAGAGATGACTCAGTGGTTAAGAGGACTGAATGCTCTTCCAGAGGACCTGGCATTTATGACAGCCCATAACTATCCCTAACTCCAGTCTCAGGTGATCTGACACCTTCTTCTGGCCTCCGTGAGTACCAGGCATACATGTGGTACAAAGACATATTTGTAGACAAAACACCCAGACACATAAAAATAAATTAACTAAAAAACAAAAAAAGCTTATAAAATTCGTTTCAATATCCATCGGTAAAGTCTAATGCACAGCCACTCCATCTGTTGGCATCTGGGGCTGCTCACTCACTGGCTCCAGGGGCAGAGACAAGAACTGGACTATGAGCTGTCAATCTTAACACAAGGCCTTCGTCTTCTATAGTTCTGATAAATATCATGATAAAAAAGCAAATCGGGGAGGAAAGGGCTTATTTCAACTTACAATTTTCAGTTCATAATTCATCACTGAGGGAAGTCACGGTAGGAACTCAAGGCAGGACTGGAGACAGGAAATGATGCAGAAGCCGTGGAGGAACTCTGCTTCCTGGCTTTTTTTTTTTTTTTTAATACAACTTAGGATCACCTGCACAGGACTGATAATACCCATAATGGCCTGGGTCATGTCAATCATGAATCAGGTCACTCTAATTGAGGCATTTTCTCAATTGAAGTTCCTCTACCCAGATAACTCTAGCTTGAGTCAAGCTGACAAAAAATCAACTAGGACACCCCTGAAGAACGGCCATGCCTTTCTGTACTGTTGGGTCTGCCTCTGCTCTACTCTACCACTGCTCAAGTAGGAATGTTAGCTACAATGTTAAGCTCCACATTTTGGCCTCGATTCTTGCCAGTTTTTGCTATATTCATTAGGAATGTCATGGCTGGCCACTCAGCTGACACTACTGTGTTCCACAGTACCTGTGACAGGATAATGACCAGTCATACCAGTACTCGACCTCAAGTTCACTCCTGGAAGAGGTACAGACCTGTACAGGGTGAGACCTCCACATGATGCTAGCAGCCATAGGGTGGTGGTTGCTTGCTAGAGAGCCTGGTGATATACCAGGTACTGCACTGTGTACTGGAGGAATGCAGAAACATGACTAGGCAATCTTGTGTTTAGCTGTGCAAGGTTGAGGGGTGGCATCATTGGCTATAGACATTCAGAGCTGTGCAAAGCAAAGAGAGCAGCCAAGGACACAAGCACAGGGACAAAAATAGCACCAGTGGTGACATTATAGCAGTTTGGTTTTTGTTGTTGTTGTTGTTTGTTTGTTTTGTTTTGTTTTGTCATGCCAGTCTACCCAGAAGTCTATTTTAGACTCCAGACCCTGGCCCCAAGGAGATCAAACGCCCTGTTTCAGCTACATGTATGGAGACTACCGAGTCATAGTTAAAGCTCCCTGCCCCAGAACTGGCTCTAACCAGGTGACAGCACTGTTCCATCACACAGGCAAGTTAACACTTCCCATCGCATCTCCAGAGCTGCCCAGGATGAGCAAGGGGTGCTGCCACCCCCAACACTCGGCTGCCAGCACGTCCCTGGGATGTCTCAGCCAGGCAATTCCCAGCAAAGCCCTAAACAAACAGAAAGCCGGTCCCTAGTAAATAATTTTGGTTTTTTCCAGGCAAAGGTTGAACAACAATGGTGGGACCCGGAAGGTTCCCTGTTCACAGGAAATACTCACTGTGTCACTATGTGTACATGGGACAGCCCACTGCAATGCTTAGGTCACATGCAGAGGTTTCTATTCACAAGGACATTTTTGATAAACTGGTATTTTGTGGGGGAGGGAGGCTGGGAAAGTGGCCTATAAATATTTAACAAAACAAAAGGTCCAGGATGGAAATAGGAACTCATTCTTTCTCTCAATGGACAAGCCTGCCAGGCCAGATAGGTTTGTACTCCTGGACAAAACCCCAAGATAACATGCACTGGTGAGAAGAAGTTCTTCGTGGGAAAACCTCAGCATCCTTGAGTGACCTCAGGAATCTTAAACAGCAAGCTCACTGTGAGCCCATTTCAGGATGGCCTTGCTAAGGCTACAGCGTGGAAAGAATGGGCCCTTTCCATAGGCCAGGTCGTGGTCACCTGCTGCCATACCAGAACCAAAGCAAGGTCTGCTGAGACACTGGGTGTTAAAGTACATCCTACCAGGTGACAGGGGGTAACATAATGCCTGGATCCTAACACTGGGGCCTCCCTGGGCAGGGAGGGTCTG